TTTCCTTCTGTTGTTCGTCTTCATCAATATCTCTTGCTAAATAATTGAACAACGTTTTTGTCAATTGTCAATTGTAATAAAGTTGCTGACTCTACGTACTTGAGAAATCTCTTGTTGTGTTTGTTGAACGGCTAAACTACTCCTTTTCTTTTCAACACAGTCTAACATTCCCAGGATCGACTTTCTCTTAACCTCGGCATTGGGATATGAATGTGTCGAGTCGTCAACCACATGCGACTATAATCAGCTGTTCTAAACTTCCTCATTGGAAGTCACGAAAAAGCGGCTCTGAAGAAGGCGATACTCCCGAAACGTCAGCTAGCGTTGTATTGTATTGTGTTTTTATGGAAGTAAATGTATGCTGTTTAAAAACCTCGCGATTGCTGAACAAGAAAACGACACACAGTCTAACATTTTCAAACATGTTTTTAAGGATGAATGGTTCAATCGATGATGAGACACTTATACGACGTCTAGTCAACGAGGATGGTAGACTTCAACCTAAGTGGGGTTATTTAATCCTAGCTATTGTACCAGTTGTTTGTATACTTGGTAATTGCATGGTGGTAGCAGCTGTATGGACAACAAAAAGTCTACAAACGCCAACAAATTATTTACTGGTAAGTTAGTCCCTATTGTTGTAATGTCAGAGAATTGTGTAGACCATCAACAGCAACAACCAATCTCTAAGATTTGCATTTTGCTTTAATTTCGCACAAAATCAATTGTCTGTGGAAGTAGTAACTCAAAACTGAAGAAAGAACAGGTGGAAATCATCATGACGGATTTCAGGTTTCGTTGGCGGTGGCAGATCTAATTGTTGGAACGTTTGTCATGCCGTTCAGTATATATCTTTCGGTAAGTGCCCTAGTTATCCACTGGCACACTTAGAAAACTAGGAACGGAAGTTCTGTTCGTGTTGAGTCTTCGGATTAAGGACTAGTTCCCATAGACGAAATTTTAGATTAACGAGCTTCATTGGCACCTTTCACTGACTGTGTGCCATTTCTATTGTGTAGTTGACGTAGCAGCCAGCACCTCTTCAATAATTCATCTCGTATTGATAAGCATCGATCGGTAGGTAGAGCAGGTTAAAAAAATATAGTTTTTATATCATATCAGAGTATTCACTTCGGTTTAGAATCCCAAATATCGTTCCTCTTTTAACGGCTTACCACTTCATCGTTCTAGAATTTGTTTCTGATTGTCGAATTGCGATCTACACCATGCCGTTCATTTCCATGTCAGAATCTCTAACATTCGAAAAGAATCCGGCATTTCCATCCGGATGCACAGCTAGGAGTAGACCATTCCTAAATATTTCCTACATTATTGGAGTTTTCGCAAAGTTTTAAGGCAGAAAATTCTTCGCTATCTATCTACAAGGGTTGAAGATTACCTGTAGTGACGACTGGAACGTTCCTAGCATGCTGTTCCTGTACTTCAGGGAAAAATTTTGTTTAGCCATAAAATACCTTGTACACGGCATTTGTCCTTGGGTCTGAAGAATTCTTCATAAAAACGGGATTCAAAACAACTCAGCTGTTTCACATTAACTACACACATCCTATAAAGTACTATTACTTTAATAAGTAGAATGAAGATTGTCAAAACAAACAAATCATTGCCAATAACCTGAAACTTTTCTACTTCACCATAGTCAAGAAATTCTGGTTTTCTGGAGCCTTCCACAAGAATTTCACACTGTACTAGTATCTCTCTTAAAAAATGGCCCAAAAATTGAAAAAGCTGATCTTCATACAGTGGTCACGCAGAGAATTTCTTTTACAAATTTGACAACTTTCAAGTTCTCAAGTGCTCAAATTATTAAATTCTCGTGTACTTCAATTGTCAAAAAAACTCCACTCTTTAGGAATTCTGGGCAGCTTTTTCATTTTTCTGACAACTATGAAGACGACTATTTCAAGCTTTCAAATTTTTCACGCTTAACTGTCTTAATGGACGCGTGTGGAGCAGTGGTCAGAAGCGCCCTGCAACACGCAAATGGGATTGATTCCCAAGTCTCTGGTTCACCAAGCCTTCCATTTCTCCGGTTTAGGCAAAGTGCTAACAAACTTGTCTGGGAGGATAGCGGCGCTGGCTCAATTAATCGATAGGCCACCGTGAGTCATTTTGAAGGCCAGATATGCATTCAATCACCTCCAAACGATGCTTAATGAAGTCGGATGCATGGCGCATCCCTCAAGGATTGATCAACGCCGAGAGCTTTTTTTTATTAACCGTGTGTTAAGGAAAAATTGGATCCGGGATGGTCATCTCCATCGATCTCGTCCAACATGCGAATAAGTTAGAATCCATCTGGTAGAACTTAGCCATCATCCGTATGAAATGCTGAGATATTTGCAAAACTCGGACCACAGGTGTATGCAGTGGAGAACGAACACGCGCTGTTGTCCTTATCGGGGAGCAGCGCACTTCACCACTACACCATCCGGGTCCTTCGCTTTACATGTATCTCAGCTAGTTCTATCCCATTTGCATTAGCCATCATCGTTATAACTTCCTTGTGATCATTCTAGTGCTATGTCGATAAATACTACAAAATACCACGGATTTATAGTTTGAGAAAAATTATTGAATAATACTTTGTTCTAGTACCTGCCATTTAATACTGTATGAAAATAGGTTATAGTTAACGTTTGCACTTATATCCCTTTTTCTTTTTAGTGTAGTTTTTCGTTATACAAGGTACATTTAAACATTTTTTATCAGATCGGTTGCTTATTCGAAAATTTTAAATTTTTGTGTTGATCTCTACGGAGTATAAGGATGACCAGGTGGGCGATAAGAACATAAACTGTGCATCTACTTTCGTGGGTATTTTTAGGCCAGAGGTTAATTCAGAGAATGGAATCCTTGCTTGTTTTGCATCAAACTGATGTTTTAACTTTGATGTTTTTATTCTCCCAGTCAATTCTTGTAACAATTTACCGACTCTGGATTTGAGAAGGGCTTGGCTAACCACGAGTTCAGGATCGAACTCGACTGAATATGTTCTGCAAGGCACATCTAACCAATTGTACTCCATCCCTATTTAGAAAAAAAAAACTTGCTTCCTTATGGGTGAAAAATATATAAGACATGGTGGCGGCCAGCTGACAAGTAAGCTCCATGTCTGCTAAACTAGAAACAAACAAGCCGACCGTATCCATCTCCATTGGCACAGCATCGTTCTACAAGCCACTCTTAGGTGTCCACTTATGGTCAATACAAAGACTTTGGACAATGCGAGGCTCGCTGGGCAGGAGCAGGCACATAACGTGGACGAATATGACTTTTAATGGTACAAACTAGAGTCAATTCAATGAATTACTTGAGTAGATTTGATACACTTGATACATACAGCGTTTAAATGCTCTCATTTTGTTATCAGCCAAACAACAAAAGTCTTACCCTCCACCTTACTTTTTCTGAAGGAAAAAGCAGCTTAGAGAAAACGCCTTACCAAGAAACCAGCATAACAAACTTCTTGTTTTCACCTTAGAAAACAACGTTCATATATAACACACATATCGTGGGAATGCTTATGTGTTTATCACTATAAGTTTGTTTTTTTCAATTTCCTTGATTTTTCAGCTTTTTTAGATTGGTAGCCGCTACAAAACCATCTGATTATAAAACAATGAAGCACAGAAAACGGGTCTATGTTGCTATCGTTCTCACATGGGTGTTTAGTATTAGTATTTCAACCCCTTTAGGTAAGTAACTATAAGAAAAGCTTATTGAAAACTATAAAAGGTATGTTGCGTAAAAACTTTGTTCGACAAGAACTCACCAATTTTTGGGAATTTTGAGGATTCAGCAAATACTTACTTGCTTAGATAACCCGTCTTCATTGGGGGTGAGGGCCTTAGTATAAGTTCCATTCTTTTCTCGCACAGTCGTCATTCATCGTGATGGTGATGGCTTATTTCGAATGTGGTGACATCTGCAAGGCCCATTCCGAATTCCCAAAATTTTCATCTAAGAACGCAGATGTTTGACGTTAGCCATGAACACCTCCTCCCATTGTTTAAGTGGCCGTGCAAGAAAATGCTGGCATTCTTCTCGAATCTACTTCACTGTTCTTTTCGACATTTTTCATCCGTTCTTGCTGTTATTACTGTTATGCGACTGGGTCAATTCTGCTTTCCTAGAAAAGCTTATGCGTCAATCGAATCTGCCCACGAAAAAGGTGGTAATCAGATGCAGCACAAGACCCAGGTACCACTTAGGTGTCAAAAATTTATCTTCTGTTCGCGAGAATATGGTCCATCTCCATATGAGTCGTTCCCTTAAGAGCCTCCCATGTCCACCGGCGGTTATCTGTTTTCTCGAAAAATGACCTCTCATGGAAGAGACGTCTTGCTGGCACTAATCTCGCAAGTAGGTTTCCGTTCTCATTTCGCTCTCTTATTCCACATTTTCCTTTCCTGTATTCATTATCCTTGGCTAGCTCTTCTTCATCTAGAAAGAAATCCTTCAAAGACGCATTTATGAATGATATTTCATTGCAAATTGTTTTCCGCAATTAGTTGTAGAACGCTTCTAGTTTCCTCACACACGCTGTACAAGTTGTTGAATAGCACATGGTGATAGTGACTTTCTTTCGACGCCGAAGCTAGAGAAGAAGGGGTAATCGCGGTGACTGGATCTCGTATGGGGTAACTATAGAGGAAATTAATGAGCGCGCGACAAAACAATCGCTTCTAACATTCCGTGACGGAAATTTCCTTCAATGAACGACAAGGATCCCGTCATCTAATTGGCTTGTGTCGGCTTTCCCGCTTTTTGTGTCTTGTAGGGCGATCACATGGAATTTTATGTGAGCGAGGCCTACGAAGAGCGTTAGGTGCATGAAAATACTGCTCTAGTATTACAGATGCAAAGCGAAAAACAGTGTATCCATGTCTTGCCGAGAGCGCTCTTGTTTTGTTCGTTTCCAATGGCATCCTGTGCAACCAGAGCTTTGGTCGCCTGTGATGAACAGCCTTTCACCTCGACTTCGTAGATATAAGCGCCAGTGTGCGGGTTACTGAGACTCGAATTTCTCTCGTTTAGCCGCTGCGGCTTCTTGTAGTGTCGAGATCAGTCTAACTGATCCCGTGCTCAAATTGTCTTTGCCCCAAGGAGTCAGCACCCTTGTGAATCATTGGAGATTTGCCACCATGCCACTAGTCATAACAGCAGGACGGTGGTGATTTCTGGCATTGCTTCACTATTAACCTTCAACCTTCAGAATCAAAACACTGAGCTCCTTCTCAGCTTGGCAAGTCTTGTTTGCAGGATAGACATCCGTTGCATATTGCAGTCCTACACCCGGGAAACCTCTCGACCACGATTACCCGATGAAGCTTTAGAAAGATTAACGAATAGCGAATCATTTTGGTCGCAAAATTACAAGCTGCTCAAAAAAAAACAGCGAACTTTGTTGTTGAGTGCCTTCATCGTTTATGCTGAAGAGGCGTCACAATTTAAGAAGTACCTTAACGAAAAACTATACAAGAAAGAATTTCTAGACGAAATGCTCAGTAGTTGAAAGGTAGTATAAAGAAAGACTAAATTGAAGTTTGGACTTTTCTATATTTTTTAAATTTCTAGTTTTTCAGGCACGACTTTAAATATTCGAACTGAGTATTTCCTTCTCACTGAACATCATTGTGGCATCTACAATCCCATGTATATGTTGGGAAGTAGTATCTTTGCATTCTACTTACCTTGCTTTGTCATGCTGTTCACCTATGGTTATACTTTCTACGCATTACGAAAACGACTTCGAGCTATTCAATTACAGGTGAGGTGGCCATAGTCTGTCATCGTTTATGTCAGAAATAAATCAAACAACTGTGAATGTTTTCAGTTTATTTCAGGAAATGGCAGGTGGTCAATTTCTTGGATTTGGTGCCGATGTTGGTAATATCGCAACATCTGCAATGCAATCAATTGTCGGTAAAATCACTTTGATGTTTGTTAAAATCGTTTTCGCTTTTTTTCCTTTTTTTTTAAGGAATTCCACCAAAAAATCGCAATATGATATCATGGGAGAAGCCGCTGTTGAAAAAAATCGAGGAAACGGCTGCCGAACATGCTAGCTCGCTGGACGACAGTGAACGTGAGCAGGTGACCATTTACTTCGATAAATGATAAAACTGTCCTTCTTGTTTCTTTATTAGGATTCTTATTTTACCGCTTAAACCTTGACATCCGTAAAAGTTTGCTGTCTCTTCGTGGCGGAGAGTGTCGCTTCCACGAAAACCCAGTATTCTGATGGTAACAAGTGAGGTGGTAGGAAATCTGCTTCCGATCCACGGCGTCCAACGCCTACTCTTGGTGACGGTTTGGAAATGGCTTATCACGTCCCCTCGAGGTTGTAAGGAAGAGGAATCTTGTTCAACAAGGAGATTATAAATGAGATAGAAGTTATGCTCGGGCCATCAGGGCACTAATAATAACGGGCTATAGAAGTTTCCAGGCATTCCATGTATAAAGGAAGGCTAAAGTCTTAAGGTATATAATGACCCGCAAAAAAGTTGCAACGTGCGATATCGGCGAAAATTCAAGCGATTCGAACGTTTATCGAAGCCATTTTCTTCTTTGCTACATTTTTCTATAATATAGTATGCACAGTATACATAGTCTCCCAACGGTTTATCGCGTCATTGTGGCTGGAAGGTGTTGCTGGGTGTCGGACTGCGATGTTCAGCGGGGGATTCATCCTCTGGCAGGGTCTCCCAAGCTGAGAAGGAGTCCGGCGTTTTCGTCAGGAAGCCTTGCTAATAGTAAACCAATACTAGGATCCACCACCGTCCTGGTATCAAAGTTGCATGGTGGTAAATATCCCTCTGATTCACAAGGGCTGTGACTGCTTGTGGCGGTGAAGACCTGGGGCAAACTTTGGCCAGGCTGACCTCGGGGCTCCAGGGAACCATAGTGGCTTAACCAGCAAATCTCCGCAAAATGGAGATTGGCCTAGGGCCTGCACAACCACTAAGGACGGGTCATCCAAGTATCAAGTAAGTAAGTGTAAGTAAGTTTTCAGTCAACTATCGTTCTCCTTAGGGCGCACGTGGCGCAGTGGTTGGAGGCGCCACTGCGACACAAACGTGGAGTCGATTACCGTGCCCATTGCCCACAGAGCCTTCCATCCTTCCGGGGTTAGCAAATTTGCACCAGACTTGTCTGGAAGGACAGCAGCACTGGCTCGCTAAACCGGTAGACCACTGCGAGTCATTGTAAAAGCCAGATATGCATTCAATCACCTCCAACGATACTTAATGAAGTCGAATACATGGCGCATTCCTAAGGGATTGATCAACGCCGACAGCTTTAGAGCTTTTATAGTATACGTAGTACCTGCAGTACAGTTTGCATATGACTCATTGGGATTTAAGAATTTTCGTCCTTGAACACGGAGAAAAACCTCAAGACATCGTAGGCACAAATACTTCAGATATGACGTGCCTTCATTTTTTCCATTAATAAAACTTTATTCAGTTTATGGTTATTCGGCCTTTCACTAATTAGGATTCTATTAAAGCTGCAAACGATCCTTGAAACTGTTCATCCTTCATCATGTGGAAGTGGGGAAAACACGGCAATAGAAGACGATATTGAGAGACCGTCTTCAGTCTTACTTGAGGCAGTCACTCTTCAACGCGAAAACTCACTGTCTGGCTTTGTGTTGGAACTACCGCAGCCAATGTATGCCAAGAAGTTTGTAATTTTGCTTTAGAAAGTTTTATTTTATTTTTACCTTTTTTGTTTCGTGCGTTGTGACATCAAATGTTGTGCAGATTCCAACACTTCTTCCATGCGAATCGTTTCCTTTCACGTGTCATCCACAATAGTCTTCAGATTTGTGAATTCGACTTCTCCTCTAGGGTTTTCAACCTTTTTATGAATGTCGTTAAATACCGCTCAACTTCGACTTCGACACGCATCCTGGGATAACCAACCTGGCTCGTTCAGAGATATTCGTCACAGACAACTACCATCTTTTACGGAATAGGGGAAGTTGGTTGATCTCATACCCGTTGAGTACCAATTTCTCGACCCCAGAGGAATAGAAAGGATGAGCGTGGATCGGTGACAAACTAGCGCTTTTTTCCTATTGAAGAAACCAAGACCACTCTGTGACCTCCTCACGTTCAGAAAGTTTCGGTTTAGCTACAAAAAAATCCACATATTGATACAATCCCTACCATCCAATCGACGAAAAAATAACACTGGTTTTCCTAATGAGTTGGCTTTTCTATCGGCATAGCACTATCCCATGTCTTTTCTTCGTAGAATTCAATTTTTTCCCACCAGCCAAAAGTTTTCAGTCAAACTTTCTGTGGTCAAAAGTAATCAAAAACTATTGTTTTACGTTTTCTTTCTAACTGCAGCATTTTTATTGCCCTGAACTTTCATTTTTATGCACATCTGGCCAGGTCTGTATTAAAACTGTCAACTAACACGACTAATGAGGTGTGCAACTAAGCGTAATATCTTTCTGGAACAGCCAAAAAAATACTTTTCGTGCTTACTTTTTATTGTAGTTTCAGAATACCTCGAAGATTTTCGGATGCAGTCAATTCCATATCTGCCGGAAAACGAAGAAGATCAGTCAGTTTCGAAGCCGGCGACATTCGACGAAGACACTCTGAGATCATTCATGGATCGGAGAATGAGGATCGTGGAGCAACGCTCAATCTTAGGCAACCGCTGGTTAGTTTAATCCTTCATTAGCTATATCGTTACTGGATTTTTAGTGCTGTAACTAAGTTTCAGTGAAAAAGTTTCCGTTCTCTTTCATGCAGTTTAATTGCGTGGAGCTTTTGGTATCAAGAAACGAACTAGATTTTGCAATTATCGAACTTTCAGTTTTCACTGCTTGTAACATCTAAGTTGAAACACATAAGTATGTATAGGTTTAAACGCGTAATGGGGGATGATGCGATTCAGTTCACTGGTTTATTGCTTCAATGTGGCTTGGAGGTTTTCCTGGATGTTGCGAGCAATGCACAAAAATGAAACCATGGGAATGGTATAGTCATTCAAGTTTCTCAACTCATGAGCGAACTGCTCATGAAAGCTGAACTTTGCATAAACTTTTACCAGAAAATGCCGCTATCTTTGATTAAATTAAGTAGGACTAGCGAATGAGCTACAAAGCTTTCCAACTTATGAAAAACGGCGATTAACGTTAACATTTTTACAAAATTTTAAAACACTTGTCCGACCCTTTGTTTAAAAATAACCCAAAAAAGGAATCAAAACGATCAATCAAAAATATTTAGCAGTTCTTTGTATTCTTGTTGAGCAAACACGAAGTGTTATCCTATTTCTTTATTTTCCTACAAGCTGACGTTTCGGCGGATTTCGCCTTCCTCAGAACCTGGAAAGGTTAAGTTGACAGCAACCTATTCTGCCAAACACCTCCAAAACCAAACAAAGAAAATGCTAAGCGAAGAGTTTAATCACGATGAACACAGCTTTGCAAACTCACCGCTTTCTATGAGGCCTCCACTGAATACGTCGCTTGAAGACCAACCGCACAGAATTCACATGGAAGCGTAATGTGCCCTTCCTTTAGAATAGCAGGCTTATATACTGCCCAATATCACGCGTGATAACGAGGCATTCCTCTCTGCGGTTCATTTTCGTATTCTTGGAATTGATCTAGAATGCCTCTAGAGTTTTGCGAGCTTATGTTCTCGATTCTTGTGGTAGGATAGTGATACGTACTTGAAAGTCCTCCTCGTTATGTCTTTGGGTCCTATGCGTGCCTAGTGCGGTATTTGGTTGACGTTTGCCGGCTAGGTGTTCTTTTATGCGGACACAGAGGGGTCTGCTCGTTTAGCCAATGTATTCGTCTCCGCACGCCTTACAAGAGATCAAATAAACTATACCCGAGCTCATGCATTCACCGTCTTTACCATTGGGGCAAATTATGCAATTTTGCGTTGCACGTAGACGGTCATGTAGTCGGTTTACGAACTAGCTGGCGCCTAAGATTACTCGGTGAGATTTCAACTACGTTTACCGAATTTTCTAGACCCACCCTTCTTAAGCAGCGTTTTATAGCTGCACTTCCATTATTTGAGATGAAGGGTAGGATAAACGGGACCTTTTTGTCGCTAGTGTTACCGTTTGGAGGCCTCCGATTTTACCTACACCTATCCTGAGCTACAGTTTCGTAGCTATTAGAAATGGCTATTTGCCCTGCCAAGTTCCGGGACTCCTCTCTCTGCTCTCTTCCCGTGCACACGTTGGTTGCTGCTCGAAACATGTTTCTTACAAGCGCCCTTTTCGTGTGAGAGTGGTGAGAGGAGAGGTAATGAAGCAAGATGTTTTTACTACTTGGCTTTCGGTACCACTTTGTAATGAAGCCATTTTCTGATAGGTGCATTTGTACGTTCAGAAATGGAAGCCATTTTTCTTTCGGTTTCTCTCGGGTGAACTTGAAATACTCTGACTGTGCGTTCAGCAACTCGAAACATTTGTCCATTTCCTCTTATGTTGTGCAAAGGACAAGACAGTTATCTATATATCTACAGTAGAGTAGCGGCCCGAGACCAATCACCGGTGCTTCCACCTTAGACATAAACGCAGTGGCAAGACTCGAGGTCAGTCGCTGTCCCATTGCCAACCCTCTTATTTGAGCGTAGTACTTTCAGGACCATCTGAAGATTGAGCAGCTCAAGCATTCTTTTAGCAGTGCCATCAAGTGCTCTATCTTAAAGCCATACATGTTTATTTCTCTTTCGTGTTGTAGAAGGAGTTCGAATATGGCTTGCATTGCGGAGTCATTCGACACGTTTGTATAAAGGGCGGTAACGTCGAAGGATTCCATCGCGTACGCGCTGCTGGGCTGCGTAGTACGCAGACGATCCAGAAACATCTGGGTATTCGCAAGATGGGTTGGAATGTGTTTCAACAGCTGGTTAAATATTAGGGCTAAAAACCATGTTATCCAATCCGTTGGCCTGCCTACACAGCTAATGATAGGTCTAACCTTAAATAATGATGGATCGGTAGACGCAAGATCATCACTGTATACTAACTTATGAGTTTTTATAAGCAAGTACAAGACGGGAGAAGTTGGTAAGTCAACTTTTAGTTGAGAGATGGTTTTAAACCAGCAGCCCTTACCATTTTGGTCCAATCGTGGTTTAATTTTCGGTATTTACTTCTAAACTTCTTCTCAGATGATGAGCGATAAAGCGAAGCACCTTCAAGATACTTTTTCGTTAACTCGACATCTAATTGATGGGAAATTACGACAAACTCTTCATCTTTATCACTAACGGATAGTCCTACGTTTTTTAACCTTATCAGCTCCCGTTCCTCTCGCATACCATGTTTTTGAACTTCAGTGGGCTTGGAGCTGTATTTTTTCGCGCGATAGTGATTAAGGGCTTTGAAAGTTTCATTCGTAAACATCCGAAATTTAACATCGGCTTCATTATTAGGCTCTTGTTGTCTAAAGACCGGCTGAGGAAATGGTACTATTGGTAGAGTCTTCACTTGGTGCCGTTCGCACCTAATTCGCGCTTCATCTCTGGATTTTTGCGGAGTCTATCTTGAAGTTCATGTAAACCACATGCGAACCTACGCAAGATTGTCCTGGAAATGGGTTCAGATGGTGAGAAACTCGGTCCCAACTCTAATAACGAGCCCGCACTGCCAGAGAGAGTCATGCCTCCTAACACGGTTAGCCTTGAATTTTCTTGCACATTATTTATCCTACTGTGGCCTGGTTGATGTTCGTTAGCGATATTTCTGCGCGCTATTGAAGCTGTGCTATGCGATTTACTTAAAAGCTCTTCGAATTTTTTCCGCAAAGTTACTTCAGCGTTAGACCTAATAGAGTTGTAAATCAACACTGACCTGCCCTCTATTCTCCTCCAGAGGCGGTCCTTCAAATACTGAGCACAAAAGTTTTACTTCGTCTCGCACTTCTTCCACTTGGAGAACATCTGTTTTTGTCGGCTTCCTAGACAGGTTCGTAGTATTGGCAATTCGATATCCAGTACTCGGTGACTGTCCTCTGGTAGTGTGCATGCATCGTGTAGTCGTCTTTATTTGATGAAGTTCGAGACGATTCGGTGTTTTAGACAGCGGCGGAGAAAGTGTAATGACTGTCGAGCTAACACGATCTTTTGTCTTAGTGACAGCGCTTCTTTTACAAATCGGAAGTATCATGCTAGTACGTCTCATAATAAGTCCCATGAACGACTTTCTATTGACCTCGGCATTAAATATTTAGCATACATATGTTCCTATTTGACAAGTATAACCACCTGAAGTTGGCGGTGCGTGTTCTTATCTTTATCCATTGAGCTTATTCTTTCATCTTATTTAGTTTATTGCTAGAGTAACTCGAATTCTGAACAAGCCAACTGCTCATATCACATTTTTTCGGATCGGATCACATTTCCACTTTTTTCCCGGAAACATACCCTTTCATTAAAATTTTTTTCTAGAGCAAATGTTTTGAATATTTTGCTACACCATAGTCGTTTTCTAACCCAGATTTGGTCTTTTCTTGTTGTGCCGCTCTCCTTCCAACAAGTACTTCGTTTGCGAACTATCTTTATCCTTATAATCTGAGACAGGTGGTAGGTAGCGTAGAGGCAGTGTTGCTCAACCAATACAGTTCAGGTTGTGGTTCGACCTGACTTGAACCAACGAAGACCCGCATTTCTCCGGGGTTGAGACATTGGTAATAGATCTGTCCACGATTAGCTGGCTTCCTACAATACACAAAAGATGGCGCTCGACTGTGACGAGGATCCTTGATCGGCCCAGCTCGGCTAATCCTGGATTTAAAAAAAATTCGACTTGCCCACATTAAACGGAGAACTCACGTGTAAAAATCAAAGAATGTGAGAAACGGTAGCAAGCTCGGGGCGATAGTTATTTCTGCGTTAGAATTATCATTTAATTTCAAAGCCATCAACGTTTTGCTTCTGCCTCATGTGTACAACCAGTGGAGTACTTCGTTATATTTTCGGTTTCTTATTAATGCACTTTATAAAAAATCGGAATTTTTCATTGGTTTTTAATTAATAATGCCCACAGAGTAAGACTATATAAGGATAATCTTAACCCTTTTATTTACTGCCTTTTTTTTTAATGGCAGGGTATGTTGCGAAATATAACTCGTATATAATGCTGAGATATTTGCAAAACTCCGGACCGCAGGTGTATGCAGGCAGGCGACAGGCAAATCGAAGGACCCGGATGGTGTGGTGGTGAAGTGCGCTACTCACCGGTAAGTACAATAGCGCGCGTTCGTTTCCCAACGCATACATCTGCGGTCCGGAGTTTTGCAAATATCTCAGCATCATATACGAGCTATATAAGGATAGTTCGTAAAGACCAAGTAACCTCCTCCAAAAGTCTGCTGTTGTTCTCCTCGTCTTGAATTAGTTCAGTCCATGAAGTCCCTTCTGTTTATTTTAAAGTCGATAGTATAAACGAAAGGATTTATAACCACAACTTTAGCTTATTATTTACTGCCTACTCTTTCTTAATGGCAGGGATTGCTTATGGCGTTGATCGATAGAACTAGCTGTGAGACAGGCGAAACGAAAGACCGGCATGGTGTGGTGGTGAGCACGTTATCTCCCGGAAGGGGTAATAGCGCGTTCGTCCCCCACCGCCGACACCTGTGGCCAGGAGTTTTGCAGTTATCTCAGCATCAACGAAAGAATTTATGTTTCATACCGAGAAAAAGAAGATGCGACGTTTATCTGAGATTATATCGGATTGGGATCGACCATCACGAACTTCCCTATCCAGTTTGTATGCTTACGCTCGACGTGAAAGCGTTTATTTAGCCCGAAAGAAGCTAGCTGGGTTAAAGGTGATATTTATTAAACGTTCAAATAAATCTTCGAAATAATCTTACTAAACTAACCAACTTCTAACATTAGGATTGGGCTTTGGATCTTCTGGCCAAATTAAAATCTAAACAAGGAATGGCAATTCGGCGAGAAGCGAGGGCCACTAAACTCGTTGCCACCGTGCTGCGTAAGTGAGATTGAGACTACTTAGACAACTCAACCTGTTTACTAATTAATTCTTTCATTAATACACCTTTCCGACTATTCTTTCAGTTGTATTTCTGGCTTGTTGGTTACCATTTTTTACGTTAAATATGGTCAAAGTCTACAAACTCATCTATAATTCCTGGACAAAAGATTGGGAGATTTGGTTTCACTGGTTCACTGCACTCGGCTATCTGAACTCTTCTCTGAACTTTTTCATCTATTCGACAATAAATCCGGTCAGTTTTTCACTATTTAAAGCTTTATGGAATTTAATTGATTGAGCTTGTACTTCAATGTCTCACACTAGAAAGTCTTGCCTTTTGAAAAAATATCGTACAAAATTCTCACCACATTGCGAAAATCATGGCCAGACCGTAGATTCCAGAAATTTCGCCACTCATTCCGTCGATTATTGCGACTTCAGCGATCAAGACTGAAGAAAGAAAAATCATGGATGCTACCACCAAAACAGACTAGCAAGTGAGTGTGCAAGTTTTACAGTGATATTTTCCTCCATTCAAAATTTTTTGTCGCCTAGGAAAGCTATCTTTTTTACCTTTAGTTTCTCGATTCTAGCAAATTATAGAAAACTCATACTAACAACTGAGTTTTCTGGTAAGCCTCTCGTGAATACGTTGCAATCCTGTTCAGAGCGATATTCGTTCAATTACTTGATCGATCATTAATACCCTTAAATAAAATGTGGCAATAGATTGCGACCGGAGCAAGTAGCATGTTGGAACTACTCTCGTTCACTTGGCAGAGGGCTCAATTTACCAGGCCCCGGTTCGATGTCGCTCTTTGCCAACCAAGCCTCTCACTCTTAAAAGGTCGGTAGATTGCTACTAAACTAGTCTGGGACAAGTCGATTCCCTCCATCCAAGCGGGAGCTTCCTAACCGAACTATCTCACGGTTGTTCCAGGGGGCACGTTATCAGCATTCAGGCACGTAGATTACGAAGACGAAAAAATCCTCGTGAAGCAACTGAAGTCACACGCGAGAGTGTTCGAAGTCTTTTATCGATGGTGGGTGCAAGTAAGTGAATCCAGTGCAAGAAGTGCTGGAGACGCCACTGTGTGATACATGTATTATCAAGCCGTTTATTAAAAAAAAATGCGAAATGGAGGGACAAATATCCGAAGTAAAATATTTCCTTTTTTCTCTAAGAGAGCCAGATAAGTTCAACTAAACAGTTGAAGATCCACTGAAAAGAGCAGGTTTAACACGTTGAGTTTTTAAAAATCAATTTCCATAATATCATAATGGTTCATAATATTAAGATTAAAAACTAGGTAATGTAAAGAGTATCTCGTAAAGACAATAATCTATGACTCCTCATTAAATATTTTCCTGAATCTAGTCTTTAATAATCATTGAAAAATGATAAAGCTTACGGCGTTTATCAATCCTTGAGGGATGCGTCATGCATTCGACTTCATTAAGCAAAGTTCGAAGGTGATTGAATGCATATCTGGCCATTGCAATGACTCGTGGTGGCCTAACGATATATCGAGTCAGTGTTGCTATCCTCCCAGACAAGTCTGGTACTAATTTGCCGACCCCCGAGGAGTGGAGGGCTTGGTGGTCCATGGGCGCGGAGATCGATTCCACGTGTGTGTTAAAGAGCGCCTCCGATCACTGCGCCACACGCGTCAATCTTAATAACCATGTCAACTCTAAGTGCATATTACCTCATCTGACACGGCAACAGTAAGCACATTAAGTCAGTTGAATTGAAGCGACTCGCATAGCGCAGTAGTGAGAGCTGCTCTGCGATGCACATTTGCTGTTTGGTTGTGTACCGCTGAGCCGGTTGTCTAAGTTCTACATCCTCCCGTAGTCGATAAAGGCTGTCTCCGATCAATAAAATTCTGGCAACTATGGACCTCGCAACACTCCAGTTGAGCATTTCAGGGTCCTAGGAGGAATCGGGGCATCGATTTTCTTTTCAAACAGCATTTTACGGCACTCATGAGAAAAAAAAATCAGTTGCCAGGTTTACCTCTGTTGGAAGACTTTCATTGATGATGCGTTCACGACAACGAACCGAATGAAATGAAGTGCTGTGGATCAGCAAAATTTCTTAAACCGGTCGCTATAAATAATATGAAACAAAAGTTTAATTTGTTATGCAAAACATTACACCTTCATCTAAAGTATACTCTATCTCATAATATTCTAGACCGCTGACAAGTAAGAAAATTTCTTTACAAAAACCGGAAATCGTCATTGATCAAGTCTCAGCGAATCAGGTTTTCATTTCAAAAGAAGATAATACAACATTTAGGTAAGACTTATTACAATAGATCGTATGTTAACGTATTTTTATTCCATATTTTAGCGCTGAAAACTGCTACATTTCCAGATTACACATTTTTAAAAAGGTTTTGACAGTTAAATTTAGTTATCTGCTTATGCTATCATGCCGTAGTTGAACTAGAACATATAACACCTTCAGCCTTGTTAATCATCAACCGTCTAAATGTGGATTCACCAAGAAAATCTCCACCTTTGTGATGGCTTAGAATTATCCAATATGCTCTATTTCCTCAAAGGAACATAAAGAGGATTACGCTTTCAAAAGAGACACATCATTTTCTATCTGTTTGTAGCCATGGTGGCTTTAGAACTCATAAAAAGCATAGTTGACTTTACCCGAGTACCTACAGAGCTTGCTTTTAGAGTCAACTTCTTAGTTATTTTAGTTCCTAGTCTCTTGATTGATACCTAAGGTCAAGTACAAAGTCAATGTCGCTCATCGAAGAAGTGATAGCCATTCAACCAGAGACTATTTGGCCTTTTTTGCCCTATGTCAAACCCTTCATCCGTTATCTTCGGATCTCCACGAAGCCACGGCTTACTGTCCATGGATAATTCCCGTGAGGGCGTTCCAGGGAAGGTGCATATATAACAATAAGTAGTAAACGATAGATATGTGAGTGCTTCCAGTACACCTCATAACTGATTATAGGATGACATCCTTACCTTAGACGATCATCATCTGAAATAATTGGCGGACTCTTTTCCAAGCTCTTTATCAAGAAACAAAAGTAAGTAGTAAAAACATCCTAGTTCATTTCAGGAGAGTTCACCTCTCCTCTCATCCCTCTCACACGAAAAGGGCGCTTGTAAGAAACATTTATCGAACAGCTACCAGCGTGTGCACAGGCACACAACAGAGAGAGGAGTCCCTGAACTTGGCGCGACAAATAGCCATTTTTAATGGCTACGCAACTGTAGCTCGAGATAGGTGTTGAGGAAAGCATAGATACCCCAACGATAACTCTAACGACAACAAGGTCCCGTTTATACTGCCCTTCATTCCAAATGAAGCAAGTGCAGCTATAAAACGCTGTTTAAGAAAGGCCAGTCTAGAGAATTCGGTAACGATAATCGAAATACCACCGGGTAATCTAAGACGTCAGCTAGTTCGTAACCGCCTATACGACCGTCTATGTGCAACGCAAAATTGCATAATTTGTCCCAATGGTAGAGACGGTGACTGAATGAGTTCGGATACAGCCTATCTGATCTCTTGCAAAGCGTGTGGGGACGAATACTTTGGCGAAACGGGTAGACCACTCTGTGTCCGCATGAAAGAACACCTAGCCGGCAAACGTAAGCTATGTACTCCACTAGGTACGCGTAGCACGCAGAAACATAACGGAGAAGATTTTGAAGTAAGGGTTACGATCCTCGCGCAAGAATCGAGAACACAAGCGCGCAAAACTCTAGAGGCATTCTGGATTAATTCCAAGAATCCAAAAATGAACCGCAGGGAGGAATGCCTTGTTATCACGGGTGATATTGGACAGTATATAAACCTGTTATTCTGATGGGAGGGGCACATTACGCTTCCATGTGAATTCTGTGCGGTCGGTCTTAACGCGACATACTCAGTGGAAGACTTATAGAAAGCGGTAAGTGTGCAGAGCTATGCTAAATGTGATTGAAATCTTGGTTTAGCGTTTTCTCTGTTTGGTTATGGAGGTGTTTGGCCGAGTGGATTGCTGTCATCTTGACCCTTCCAGGCTCTACGGAAGGCAAAATCTGCCGAAACGTCAGCTTGTGCGTAAATAAAGAAATAAAATAGCACCTCGTGTTTGCTGAACAGAAGTAAGAAGAGATATTCAATCAATGCCGAGGTTAATAGAAAGTCGGACTTGGGAGTTACAAAAGTAATAGATAAAAGTCTTCCTGATTTTTTGTCTCTTCTTAATTGAACCTTCTAGGACATTTCTTGTCAACAATCATGATGGCAGGTTAACCTGCAGAACTTCAGGTGTTTGGAAATGCCCAACAATTTGTCGACTTTGCACAGACAAGGAACACTAATGAGATTCGAGGCGATTGTCCACGACCAAATAGAAGCTGAGATATTCGTGTAATAGAAAGGAATAGAGAGACTAAGGTCAGGTATTATCGCATAGAATGGGATGAGGAATTTGTTGAGCTAAACAATTGTTCTTATTTTCAGCTCGATCGTTTGCTGAATCTCTTCAAACACGAAACGACAATATGGGAAGTACGATCGCGCAAAATCATCATCGTCAGCATCATCAATAGACGAAAAGAAAGCACAACAATTTCTGGCATCATGTGGTCTGTTGACACCAATAGAATTGACGGATCTTGTCGATCGCCTCTCCAATTCGAAGAAATGATGACGTCCTGCGTGTATTCTTATATCTGCCAATATTTCTTTTTGACATTTTTAAGGACCTTAAATTAATGCTGAAAGCTGAAAATCATGAGAGTTTCAAGCTATTCTAATTGCTGTTGCAACCACGAACCTTTCATGATGTACTGAACAACTTTACTGAGCACCAATTTTTAGGTCTTCCATTGCTGACTACCCACATTGGAATTGTTCCTGGATATAAATATTACTTTGATTGTGACTATCAACTAAGTACTTGATACTTCGCCTTCTTTATTGTAAGGAAACATAACCAGTAAAATGGACCACCTGGTGAATTAGCTTAATTTCACAAGAAACGTACTACCTCCATAAGTATAGAAGGATAAAGGATAAAGCTTTCGGCGTTGATCAATCCCTAAGGAATGCAACATGCATTCGACTTCATTAAGAATCGTTCGAGGTGATTGAATTCATATCCGGTCTTTACAATGACTCGCGGTGGCATACCGATGTATCGAGCCAATGATGCTGTCCTACGAGACAATTCTGGTAGCAATTTGCCGACCCCGGAGGGATGGAAGGCTTGGTGGACAATGGGCGCAAGGATCGATTCCACGTGTGTGTTACATGGCGTCTCCAACCACTGCGCCACTCGCACCCTTCCATAATTATACACCGCTACAATTTCTGATTGTCACACATGCGTCGTACCAATTCTATTCTACTGCCTCACATGTTTTACCGCTAAACAAAGTTTTGTAGAATGATAATGTTCCTAGTAACATACGAATTCGGCTGTCACTTGAAAGTCTGTGATCTTCTTTCTTCATTGACCAAGCCGAATTTGATTTTTCTTAGAATCCCGGAACAGCCAAGCTATATCGTTTCGAAACCTTCACCACAGGCAGGGTGTGTCTTACTAATCAGAGGTAGGTCCACTTCTTTCAAACTCATCCTGGATAGCAGAAGTTTCTGTGTAGGTAGGAAATCGTAAGATGAGTCGACAAACCGCTGGTGAATAACATAGCAAGCCGAATCCATGAGAGGTAAAATTATAAAAATTGCTAGAAAATGAGATTTTTCACAGAGGTGGACACGACGTTGTAAAAGCATGGCAGTCATTGCTTAATCATTAGCACGGATCTCTGAAATCTGTGCGATCTTCGACTCGTTCGACTGGATACTTGTTGCGTAGATTCATCCACCCTTGCATGACGACCATGTCGCATTACTTTATTCACCTTCTACTGTTTTCTCTTTATTATGACATTAAAATTTTGAATGCTTTTTTTGTTGTCTATATTTAACAGTAAGCGAAATTCTCAGATGGGTGCGTGGTATTTCTCGGTGCCAAAGTGCAGGGTAAAGCTGAGGTTTCTTCTCCACTATATGATCAATTTATGCTGAGAAATGGTCTGACGTTTTCATCGGTAGGCCGTTTAGAAAAGTACACTATTGATAGGAATCGATATCGCACTAGAAGAAGACTGGTTGTAAGGTGACATACTTTATCCTCAAGTCAACAAGGAGCAAGGACTCTACAAGAACACTTGCCTCTGATGACGACCTCTCTGATACTAGTTTCACCAGACAATTTTTCGAACATATAATGTTCAACCTCAGTAAAAAACATACGAAAGGTTGCCTTGTTCTTTGCAAAAACCAGTCACCAAAAAATTAAATGAAGCTGATGGTGATATAAGTAACGCCATCGCTATACCAGCCGCAAACCACATTGCTACTCGATCGCTACGTAACGGATATTATAAAGAATAAGCTATTTATGGTCTCCTGTTTCCAGCGATCATGACAAACTCCTTTTGGAAATCATAGGTGGTTAATACAATCGTTCATAGATTAACTAGCTGTTTTTCGAGTGATTCTTTAACAACGATAGTTCTTCAAGTCTTTAGACAAAACTATGACAAATTTTCTTGCACAGGAACTGTTTATTAATAAGTGACCATTAGCACTATTTAGGTTTCATAGATTCAAAAATTAAAGAAATTAGATTAGAAATGAAAGGCTTTCACACATTTTGCTTGAGGGTTCGCCTGAAACTAGGACATTTTCACGTTCTTCCGCATAAATGTCGTTGAACAGTTCTCGAGTCGATTCTCTCCTGGTATAGCCTTGTTGGAACATTCTCATGTGGACTGGAGGAAATGATACCAGACAAGCAGAGTGCCGATTTTCCGACGTTTGAACAATGAGAGTCTTGGCGGGACAGGTTGAGGTTCGAACTAGTCCTTTGTTCAAAATGAACGGAATCACGGTCATTGTGCTACGTCTCTTTCTCGTGTCACTTTAAAAATTTGAAAAATTTCGTTCGAGGAGCCGTTTCGAAAGTGGGTTAATTGTCACCCGCGAGACATTTTTAATAATTTGAAAAATTTTAAACGAAGAATGAAAGGAATATTGAAGAAAAGGGGTAGTTATCTATAATTAAATAGTCAAGACTATACGTTAAAATTGTGGTTTATTTACACGCATATAGATTTTGTTTTTTAAATATTAACACATTCACTGACTATGTCCAACTACTCGCTATCAATGGGCCAAAACCTCACTTAAGGGAGTAGGCTCGTTTTGCATTGAGCCGCTGTTTACAGGAAATCTTAGACAATTTGTGAGCGTATTCGACGTTTCATTGTAATAAAAACAAGAGTTAAGCAGCATGAAGAATTTCATCGCATTGCTGTAAACCTGTTTTAGAAGAAACAGCTCAATCTATACTTGAGAAAGTTTGCCAACCATTGGAAGGAAACCGTCCTTGGCATTCCATGCCTACGATTTTTGATATGATGTCTGGCTGTCCAAAAGTAAATCTCTTAACGTCCGCTTCGCAGTGATTTGGTACATAAACAGCAGATCTACACTATATTTCAACAGATATTCCAAGTCTTTTACGCAAAATACCACGATATCTTTCACAAAAGCTGATTTGCATCTTACTCACGAGACTACAGATTTTACAATGCTTACTGTTTACTTTCTCCCAACTACAATTTTCACGGCAGGGTATTATGCGCAATACAGCCACAACGATGCTGAGATATTTGCAAAACTCCGTACTGCAGGTGTCTGCGGCATGGAACGAACGCGCTATTACCCTTTCGGTTGCTAACGCGTTCGCCACCAAACCATGCGGGTCTTTCGTCTCGCCTGGTTTCTACAAGTTTCCTCATATTCCACGTAGTCGTTCTGTGAAACATCAGAGGCGGAAGACACCACGCTAACTTAACGATGAGAGTTCTGCCATCTGTAGTTGACCTGAACATCAATTTATAGTCGCGTACGCTGTGTTTCATAATCACCTTCTTGCTATCGCATCGATCCAAACGAGATCTTATCACGTTTTCTAGCTCCCGTTTACCCGCAAGATGTGCTTCAAAGGAACATCAAAGTTTTC